AATGCCTCTACATTGAACTCGCGCGCCGAATCCCATGACGAACCACTTGAAAACGATATGTCGCTGTTGCCGGACGGAGAAGAAACCGCACACACTCCTTGTCCTTGAGCTTGAGTACCCAGCGTTGGAACGAGCCGGGCAGCATAGTCCTCCAAAGAAAGTAGAAGCGGAGGACTGTCGACTTCCGCGTGCGCCTCGGAATGAAGGCTGGTCACTCGCGAAGAAACCAGTTCTGAAGGCGTCGAGAGTGTCGTCGCGTCACTCTCGGTGGTGCTCAGTTTCCCTGTCTGCCCTTGCCTTTCAATGGGCAAACCTGTGTCTGATGAAGATCGCTGTTGCACCAAAGGCAATAGTGGAATCTCTCGCGCGCCTTGTATGCGGACTCGGAGATGCCATACGCGGTCCATGGGCCTGTCTGAGCTGCTGCACCGGGCCCGGGGCTAGAAACGGTGTGTGTCTTCGTCTTGCCACGCCCTCGGCCTCTGCCGGCGCGGCCACCTTCCCGGGCGGCTGCGAATCTGTCTCCTTCACTTGCAGACGCAGCCTCGCTGGTTTGGTCTAACGGCGCTGCCGCTGCGACCACGACCACTCTTGGCCGATGATGGTCCCTGCTCGGGCCTGACGCAGATGAACGGAGGTTCTTGGCCTCCTTGTTCGTGACGATGATCTGCACAGCCTTGTCAAATAATTCCGCCGTCGTCGTCAAGGTGTCCTCGACATGCGTCAGGGCATTGCTCAATGTCGGACATGACCTTGAGATAAAGTAGTGGCGGATGGCCTTGAAGCCCATCTGGATGTCTGGGACTGGCGTCAAGCGTTGGTACTCGGCGATCCAGTCCGTACTCGGCAACGTGCCTTGCTCGAAGACCATGAGCTTGTCCATGGCTTTGATCTCTGGCGGCTCCACCTGGAACCGCTTGTGCCACGCCGCCTTCAGATCATCCCAGGTGATCTTGGTGTGCAAGTCATTAGCTACCACTCCGTACTTGGACAAAAGGTTGTCCAACCAAGCCTGACACGCGCCCCCTGAGCGAGAGTACAAGTAGGCGTGATGCTTGTGTTCCTTGACGTTGGGAGCTGCAGCGTGAGCTCGAACTTGCGAAACCATGGAATTGGATCTGTCTTGATTGAGTCGTGGAAGATCTCCTGCCCATCGAACTTAGGAGCTGTCTCGCGCGGCTCCAGACTCGAGGTGGTGGCKGTAGTGCAGATCCGCTGCTGCAACTGTTGCGTCGCGGTCTGCTGTAACTGTGCGTCGTCCTTGAGGGAGCCGACGTGCATCTCCAATGCGGTGAGGCGGTCGGCAGTGTTGGAAGAGCCTGCGTCGACGGCGCCGACTGGTCGCTGCTCCACCCGCTGAAGGCGGTTTTGGAGATAAGCTACCGAGTTGTCGAGACCAAGGATCTCCGCCTGCTATGTAATGCAGGTTGCTAGGAGATCCGTGAGATGCGAGAGGAGGAGCGCTATCTTGTTTGCGCTATCCTCCAACCGGCTATTCTCGTCCTCGCTTCGCCATTCTGCTGCCATGGTAAGTAATGCCCGCTCTCCGGTGAATATCTTCTCACGACGCTGTGTTCTTTCTTCATCGACAGCCCTTGCTGCTGCCCCGTCGTGCTGGCGCCGTTGTTCCACGACCAGCAGATGTGCCTGCTCGGCATCCTCTGCCCTTTTCTTGGCTGTTGCGGCAGCGTCATCTGCCCGCTTCTTTGTCTCGGGATACAAACAGAAGCGGCAAGGCGAGAGATGGCAACAACATAGGTGGGGAGGGGTGGGTGGGATAGTCGCCCAACTCACACTTATATAAGGAGCCACTAATCAAAACAGAAAAGTTTGAACTTTGCAAAATTTTTTCGAGAAACTAAAAAAAATAAAAATCCCGATTTTTGCAAGTTCGGTAGGTCTTCCAATCTCCCTTGAAGAACGAAATGATCTATGAAAGCGAAAAAAAAAAAATTCGACTTTAGACTGCAACCGATTTATAAAGCAACTGACAGAATCCAAGAACTATGAAAAAAAGTCCGAACAGAAATGACAAGTATTCGAATTTATTCCGATGGGAATATTCGTAGTTTGGAAAATAATACGCAGGAGGTATTTCCCGTACCGTTTTCAGAAAAACGAATTTCAGAGAGGAAAATATTCCGAATTTCTAAGTAACGGGAAATGCAACAGGAAATCGAAACTTTCGAAAAGAAAAATATTCCGCATTTTTAACAACGAAATTTTGAATTTTCAGAAAGAAAAACGAAAATAGGAATTTCAGATGTTGCGATATAGCGATTTTCCACAGCAGAATAGCGAGAAAATAAAAGCCGAGACAAGAAAAAAATTTCGATTTTTTTTTTTTGTAGTAAGGTCAAGATCGTGATTTTGGGGTCAAACTAGTATGTCCTAATCAAACAGAAAAGACTAACTAGCTTTTTAGTCCCCGCACACGTGTCGGATCAGGTTGTCCTGATTCACGTGCAAAAGCTCCGATACCAACTGTTACATGCACAGATATGCAATGTACGTAATAAACCAAGAATCTGCAATGTGATGAAAAAGACTGAATAGACAATGCGGTACGAGTAGAATCTCGACAAGCAATGTACATTCTCATTCATACATAAAGATGCTGAAGAGCGCAGGGAAGACTTTGATACAAAGACTGACCTGACAGGACTGACCTCATTCACGTAGTTCAGAGTAACAAAGCAGACTGCTAGAGTACTACTAACTAGCCCAACCAATGTTTGAACTCAGACTAAACATGCATTGTATCCATCACCGAGCGTGAAGGAGCCTGGCGCTGCACACAGGAAGAAAGCGCCAGGTCCAGACATACACAGACGAAGATATAAGTGTTATGATTCTGGTTGTACGTTGCCTGAAGGCCAACACTCACTCACATAAACTTTTGCACATGCCCGTACACACACAGTAGGAAGGGGAGCGGATCGGAGTATCACACCGCACAGGGGGAGATAAACACAGCGGAAGACTTGTCCATGAGATATGATAGGGTACACTGAAAGTGCAATTCACTCCATTCAATCCTCACAACCAGTCATAGAGAAAAGCCGAGCAGATCACATCCAGGAAACAATGAAACGATGATAGCCCAAACACAGTTATACAYTGTTTATTAAACTCRGAGTCTCGAGATGTCAGGATCACTTCAGAACTGCAGTGCGCTGCTCAGAATTGAGCAGCGCTTCACTCTCCAACCCTGATGAACACCCGGAACACCCCCTGAGCCCTGAAACATCAAGCGCCACCCAAAGACAGACTCCTGGGGGCAGCGCCACCCTGAAACAGGCCTCTGAGGCCAAGCGCCACTCAGAGGGTGAAGAAGAAGACCAGCGCCACAGTATCTGATGATGACAAAGTGTCGGGAGGCTTCYCGGGTGGAAGCCTGCAGCAGCGCCACCAAACCCTGACAAGATGACCTTTGAGATGAAGAGCTGCAGCTATGGCTGCAGCGCAAACCCTCTGGGACCCCACTCCGGAGGAGGGTCCAACAGGGCACCAATCTCTCTCGCCTCCARCAGACCTCGATAACCCAGACATCTGTCAGCCCCTACGTGCTGGCAGAGTACAGCGCAGGTCCCAGCTATGGCCTGCACTCCGAAGGTCTGGCTATGCCTGTCTCCTTCCACGCTGAGCCGTTACCACTTCCGGTTCWCACGTAGCGCAGCAGCGATGTACACGGTACCAACTGCCAAAAGCCCTGAACCGATGTGCCCATCCTACTTCTAGCCTACACCGACSTAGACCGGACTGACTGACCGAYCGGTACCGTATCTGTTTTGGCCTCTCGGYCTCTACCGGACCCGGCTATAGGCTATAGGACCGTCTATTCAGAATAGGCCCATAGGGCCTGTCTGTCTAGGGGTAGCCCGGGCCTGCTATCCGCAGTTAGGGTAGCTGTAGGGAATCGAGTTAGTACCGGGCCATTATTTTTCCCGTATTTGCAGATATGTCCCTCAAGAATTTCCCTCACAGGTATGTCTCTCGGTTAGCCCTCAGCCAAACAAAAATTACGAATCTGTCCTACCTATAGTACAGCCTCGACAGAGAGAGGCTACAGGCACTTAGAAAACAACAAGTCATTGCAGACCTACCCTCCCCCGGAGCGAGGACCTCCGAGCTAGGGGCGTAGGCGTGCAGAGCGCCGAAGGGATACTCCCTTCTGTGCTGCCTCATATTTGAGGATGACAGACTTGGCTGTCTTCAGGAGATCCTTGCGAAGAAACCAACGATCTTCAGTGTGCGGCTGGTACAAGAACTTCACAAGGTATTCCTTATCTGGGCCTGTCCCTGACTCATCCTCCACAGATTCGACCTCATACCCTTTGCCAGGGATAGGGGGACCGAATTGTGGAGGCCTGTCTGGAAATGCATCATCTGGCGTAAATGGCAACAACTTCGATGCATGAAAGACAGAGTAGGTTTGTAGATGCAGAGGGATGTCCACACTGTAGGACGGTCCAAACGGATCAGCTCCCACTGTATCTAAGACCTGCCATGGACCCATATATCGTGGCAGCAGCTTAAGCGAAATGTCCTCCTCTCATGACAGCTCAGAACAGAGTACCCACACCCAGTGACCGGTGTGAATCGTAGAAGGACGCCTGTGCTTATTAGCCTGTTGAATCATAGCCTTTTGGGCTTTCAACAGGTTAACACGGGCACGCTCTATGTCCACATGGTAACGCCTAGTGAACTCTGCAGTTCCAGGTGTCAGCGTAGGGGTAGCCTTGTCGATGATATCATCGAGAGGCTGCCGTGGTTCACGACCCCAGTGCAACCGGTAGGGTGTGAAACCAGTCGAGGAGTGTACAGACGTGTTATACACAAGCTGTGCACGACTCAGATGGAGATCCCAGTCCTGCTGATCTGGACTGATCACAGGACGCAGCAATTGGAACAGAATCTGGTTCATCACTTCAGCCTGACCATTGGCTTCAGGATGACGACCAAATGTCATATCCAACCTCGAATGAAGGTAATCCCTGTAGTAGGATTGCCATTCATTGCTGCAAAAACGGGGATCTCTGTCACTGACAATGGAGGTGGGTGGTCCATGGTGTGTAACCCACCTGTCAGCAAACGCCGCCTGGACGGCCGGCACGCGAGCCTCAGCTGGTAAGGGGATGAACTCTGCATATTTGGAGAACCGATCCACACATACCATGACCTGACGCATACCTCGTGGTGTAGTCCTACCCAAGTCAGTAAAATCAATAGAAACTGACTGTGCAGGAGCATCAGGGATAGGTAGGGGTTTGAGTAAGCCAAGGGGCGCTCATCGTACCACCTTGTGCCTTTGGCATAACTCATAGGTTTCCACATAGTGCAGCATATCACTCCTCATCTCCTTCCAGAAGAAGCGCTGCAACAGGGCTGCATAAGATTTGAGGGCACCAAAGTGACCACGAGCGTCATGACACTCTGAGAGCAGAAGTGTCCTCAGCTTGCGGTCCTGGGGAATGCACAGGCGCTCCTCACCTCTTTTGCACGTGTACAACAGGCCCGAGACCAGAGAGTATCCTGGTTCAGAGGCAGGATCGTCGTGGAGATTCCTCACAATAGGCCCAAAGATCTCATCCTGGGGCAGCAACTGGGCAATGGTCTGACGTGTCCTCTCTCCAAATGAGTGAGTAAAGGAGATCAGAAAGAAAGCGTCAGGCCTACGAGAAAGGGCATCTGCTACTCGATTGTAGCAGCCCTTCTTGTGTCTCAGTTCAAAGTCAAACATGTCAATGAACTGAATATAGCGAGCAAGCTTGTCATTCAACTCTCCCTGGGACTTCATCCACTGAAGGGTGGAGTGATCTGAGAAGATCTTGAAGTGCCTGCCCAGGAGAAAGTGCTTCCAAT